ATATACTCTACTTATCCCAAGGAATTAGTATTTCGTCCTTAGAAACCCTATTTTGGGGATTAAGAGTAGAGGAGAGGCACATTTGTATTTGTGATTTGCCATCTACTTACAACCAATATATATTTTACCCTTGCGTTACTTCACCTTCCACCAATTTAATTAAGCATACAAAATATGTATTGTCTCTACGTTTAAGGTCCACACCATCTTGTAAGTAGCCTTTTCGTGCTAGTGTTGCGTTGTAATTTGGGTCTTTGTTTTAGGGCCTTGTATTTTGAGTTTATTTCTTATCTATACCTGTTATACGTACCTACTAAGACTAAGAGATCTTCTCGTCCGTCGTATTTTTAACCTTGAGTCGTCCGTCTTCAGCCTTCGGTCGTCCGTTTTCAGTCCGCCGAACAACCACTGAAAAATTCAAAGGAGCCAGAACAGCTAAGCAATCTCCAAGTTACCTTTACTTATTTTATTACCTAAAAAAACCGTTAAGTTTAATTTTAAAAAAACCATTACATTAATTCTGCCACCCTACATCAGATTAAGTAATTGGTCAAGTTTTATTGTGTCTTACTGTGAGACGAGATCTCGTACCGATTTTTTCTTTTTGCCGTTATCATAATCATTCTCCCTACAATATCTGTTTTAGTTCTTGATTTCCCTGAATAAATACTTTTTTTCCCGCTATTTTCCTCTATTTCTCTTCTTTATAGTTCTACCCTTCGCCCTGCATTTCCAGACCAACAGGAGCAGGTTTCTAGTTTTTCCTGTACGGCTTGGAATTACCGAAAAATTAGTGGCGCCTAAATTTTCTGAGCATATTTCTTCCAGTATCGTTGAACCACCCATCCCACCGAGAGCAGCTGGAGCCGCAGAGCTGGATTTCATTCGAGATTTCTTTATTTTCTTTCAGTTTTCTTCGTCACAGGGTTTGCCATACCTACTTTATTGTTATTGTTACATGATTTAAATAACTTCGCACAGTATTTTCATTTGTATATAAGACATAGTGCCATGCTGGGTGCCATGTTTGTACTGAACTAAAGGCGCATGTTATGAGTAAATCGACACTTTTCTAGTTACTCGATAATAATCTAAATTTGTCACATTGATTTTCTCGTGTAGATGTAATCTCTAAATTGTGTTTTTCAATTGAATTCTGGGCGAACAAAATTGGTATTATCAAAAAACAACGAATGAATAAATAATTAAAATTACATACGTAGGGTTAACCGATGTTGAGAAAAAGTCGAGGAAAAAGTAAAACAGATTTCATCACTTTTCTTCTATTTATTTGCATTCCGGCTATTTTTGCCAGGAAACAACAGTCCCAGTGTATTGTTTGTCGCGAAACTAACAACCTTCGTACCAAAAATAAACTATTCTTCTGTACAGATTTGATCAACGTTTGGTTCCTGTCTCGGTTCCTGTATTAGACACAAAGAGTAGATCGTATTCTGTTGATATCTGGCTAAGGGTGTTTGGCATGCGATCATCTTCAAATCCCCATTGAAACCCATACAGGATTCGCACCCTTCCGTCAACATAAAATAGTGTAAGCAATTTATCGATAACATACCTGAGTAAATTTAAATAAAAGAATGTTTACCGGCATTATACAATTAGCATTTTATGCTTAGTGGAACGCAGCTCGTTATTGTTGACGGTATGAATGTAAGTCATGAAATAGTTACGGTAAAATAACAACTACAAAGTTATTATAGATTATAGTATACCTGATTTATTACCCCGCTACTGACGACTTTGGTGTTCGCTTTTGATTCGATATTTAAATTTTACGATCACTCTAATCCATAGTTGTCCTCTGCTATGAATAGATCTGGGTACATTACCATAAATAGTTAACCGTTCACAGCTATAAAATTATTTCCTTTGTTTGGATTGAATTGAAAACGAGATCTGAGATTAGGGGTGGGCTAATTTGAATGGTTGATAATTCATTAATGAGCGATATCGATAAAGCAAACAATAAAAGAGGGAGGATTCGCTAATCGATAAAATAATTGGCCAAGTACATAATCTTTATCGAGTTAATAACGAGAACGATCGATAAACCGAAAGATTACCACAATATGTGATGCCGTTTTAGTGTCATTATTTACGAAATCTTTGTGAAAATAACTAATAAAAGTGGACCAGTGATAGATCCCTGTGGATGCGAGATGTTAGTGACCAAGAAATTATAACGCGATTCCATTTTTGATGCCGTCGGCAATCGAATTTGCTTAAAACTGATAAACAAGCACATAAGTTGGGTAATAGTGAACATTTGAACCAACGAAGGATCGTGTATCTTTGCATAAATTAGTAATTTGGCAGCAGCTTTGATATACTGCAGATCTGCATTCATTATTTTCCTACCGATGGACGGCCTCGTTTCATTTCAATCTCTACATCGACCGATTGATAGATATCTGGGTAAACTTTGAAGGCAGTCAAAGTTTTAGAAGTAGCTCGGAACTTTTTTATAATATTTATTCATTATGTAGATCAAATCAGGAGTATCCGTTAGTTAAAGTGGCTCGTGTAGTGCATTTGGGTGTATTTAGATTAACGAGCCAGCATCTCCTGGCTCGGACGGATTGAATTTCGGTGAATGTCTAACTTTAAAAAGTTGGAACGTCTGGAGATGGAAAGTTAAGAAAGCTATTCGATCGCGCAAATTTCAATCACTGAACGTGATAGTTCCAGAACGAGAGGAGATTGCATCCCAGCGCAATAATATCGGAGCTGAACTAAATTATTTTTTCATTACTACCTGGTTAAATCGAGTCAAGGTATTGGGTTCAACAAATTACAGTGACCGTGATCGTGTGCGGGGTCGTTGCCTAATGTCGATATCTCATGAATTGAGCGTCCCGCTATCGTGAGCCCTCGCGTCGGAGGGCATGACGTTTGCCACCCACAAGAGATATGTACAATAAATCCATATTTCCGAAGTCGGTCTTTGTTGCTTTGTGGGAACTACAGATTGGCGATCTCCGCTTGCAAACAGGTGACCTTTAAGGGTAACTGGATATGACACAACCACGTATTGTTCACGAGTCAATGATATCTTGATACAGATTCACAATTACTACAACCAGTTCATGAGGTAACAATAAGAACAATAACGATTTTCATGGTTCTTGTGCGCCAACAAAAATAATAAACATCACTTTATCGCAAATTGAACAAGAGCATCTTTCAGTAAGATTTCAAGGTAAATGATTACGCAACGTCACCGTCTTTTATAAAGAATCGTCTCTCACATCGACTTTCAATACAGGTCTTAATTGTTATTCTTCACTTTCATGAATGCTTTTGTGTATATAAAATAAATCCAACCCTACCGACAAAAAAACCTCATTCCTACTTCATCACTTATACAAATAAATCCTCATGGCATTTTTTACTTCAAATTAACGAATACATTGAGGACGACTATCTTAAATAAACGCTTCACTCTGGTTATATGTAAAATTAACAAGATGGTCCATTTAGACAGCTGTGTGGGAAAAAGGTACCTACCAAGTATCTTTCTTGGAAATATCACATGAAATTATTTACACCAAAGTGGACTACTTATCCCTGGGAAAGTTTATCTTAATTTGGTTCATTATCAGCACCATCTAATTGAAAATGATCATTCTTTGATAAATATTATTATTGTGTTGAACTTAGGAATTCTGCTTATCGTTCAAGATATAGCCTCCCGACACTTATCTAATTAGTTTGGGATGACAGGGTATAATAATATGGTTTCGGATTCTTAGATACTATTTATTATTATTTTTATTTAGTGGAGTAAATAAGAAAGAATAAACCGAATAGATTCAAGCGTTTGCCAGAGACAGAGAGGTGTGACCCAACGGGGTCTTTGGATTTGACCCATTTTCAATAGGCTTGTTACATGTGGCATATAGTAGGGTGACCATAATTTTTCAACAAGAAAAAAGTACATTTATAATTTATAAGGGAATGCACTGCTAAAGCTAATACTCTAGGAAATTTTTCTGGTCACAATTTTACGAATCTAATCAAACAGTAAGAAAACAAAGTTTTTTTTTATCAAACATAGGTACATAAATTATGTGTCTTTATATGTATATATAAATTTTAAAAGTTAATTTTCTTCCGACGTTCCTGCCTGAACATTTTAATCATCATTTTGGTACCAGTCGTACTTTTTGGAACCATGAATTTACTTCAGAAGTTGCCATTTCATCGATAGGTTGCTGAACAATGGATCAAAATACCTACAACTAAGCAATACGCCAAAGCATCAAAGACATGCAAGAAGTCATAATTATATTTCGTTTGGACAAAAACTATGACTTAATTTTGTGTAATTAAGAAAAAGAGTACATTTATGTGTACTTGATAAATCGTAAAGGACAATAGGACAGCGTTTCAAAAGAAAGTACTGTCCTACTAAAAAAAGTACATATGGTCACCATACTTATAGGTCAACTGTGCAAAGTTTGAACTGAATTGGTCCAAGCGCTTGATAGTTATCGACTTATCGTGTTCACAGACAGACGGACACCATCGATTCCTCCATAAAGCTTGCATCGCTTTGCTCTACCGCTTAATACTGTAACTTTTTCAGATCAAAGGCAAACGTAAAAGAATTCATTTTTATTTCTTAATTTATATACTGGTATGATCATGAGAAGGTTCGTTGCTCCAAATGGGGTAAACTTAAGATTCAATAAATCCGCGATCTCCCCATGCATGAATTTAATGAAATATTATAAAGATGAAAAACACGACATTTGTTTCGGAACTCAACGCATAGATCAGGGCATAATGCTAGAGGAAAAATTTTAATTTTTTATTTTTTTATATGCATATTTTCAATTATGTGTTACTTAAGTGCCGAAAAATTGTTTCTCTTAACTTAAAAATGGAACCAGTTGAGTTCCGAAACATTAGAAACACATGTCGCGTTTTTGATCTATTTCAGTGAACACAACCCCATTGCCCAACTTGTCTTTTAGTTTCTTCATCGGCTGTGCATGAGCATACTGGCAGTCGTAACAATCCTCTTCAAGCTCTTGGCATAATTTACCTAAATCTGGAGAGGTCGTGGGGACTTTTTTGAGCGTCAGCCTGGAAAATGTCCAACTATATTCCAAAAGGTTTAGTAATTATATAAATGTTCGAGTTTGGATGAAAATTGGTCTAATTGTACTGTACTAGTATAGAATTGAGCCCGCCAATGATCAGCTTTCGTAGGTTATGACAGCGAGACAGACAGAAACAGCGACTGGTGCCAACGTTGCCTCCACAACTGGCGCGGGTGTACGAGGTAAGGGGTTGACAGCTACTGGCAAGAAAAATAGACGCGCTCTCTTCGCTCTAGCGCTGCACTGGCACGAAAAAGCATTTACATTCATTGTCCGGACTGTCACGCTATTAAAACAGACATTGAAAAATTCATATCTCTTAAACCGTTCAAGGCAAGTAAGTGCTCTTTTTTACAATCGAATCTAAAGTACTCCCTCCATCCTACTGCTCACCCATAGCGTCGGACCACAATACCTATTCGCTCAGAGCGTAGGTGCCCCAGGTGCTACTGTTCACCCATAGGGTAGGATCGCCCGTATTCGTGTTACAGCTGTAAGTACGCATCAAATCTTAAGTGCAATGAAATCATAATAAAATGGCATATTTAAAAAAAATAGACAATGGTATGGTATGTTTCTGTTTAAGAAAAACGAAGATGGCGCCAATTTTTGAAAATATTTTATTTCAGTTCGCAAAAGTGGATTATGGTCGTGAACTAAATTTCAAGTTTCTATTTCAACTGCTAATTTAAAAACTTCTAACGAATGGGCAACATGAATTAAATGTTCGTGCCCATCAACCACTCTGATGTGGTGTTTTAGCAAGTAAAACCTTATTTTCAATGCATTTGGTTCTAGTGGTGTACTAACCTATTTTGGTATGGGGGTTGGATAAATATGCGCCTTTTCTTGATGGTGCCGTAGTGAAAAATCTGACGAAAGGAATTGGTTTCTATCCAATCAGAGGAGGGTACTCACACAGGGAGAATAGAAGGTTTGGATGACACGTAGGTCCTGGAATCAAAACTTCAATTGCAAATATTTCGATATGGATTTTTCATCTAAGCATAGGTACTTTTTCCTTTATTAAAAGCATGTATGGTTAATTTTTAGAAATTATCTATAATAATAAGCTTCTTAATTTTTTTGCAGAGAAGTAGCTTTACCAATAAGAAAGTACTGTGCGCTGCACATATAAGAATACAATTATTATCAAAAGAATTGAATATCGAAAAGGTATCATAACTTTGCCCAGGGTTAAGAGGACTTGATCCACACATGTACACCATTTGTGCAAACACATTGTAATAACATTGTAAAGGAATGCCGAGAAGGTAACTAATAACTAATACAAATTAAAGATATCAACAAAAATTCGCAACGTGGGCTGCTCACACACAGTCTCTGAAAGGAAATATGCAGAAATGAAATGGAATTGGGCACAAGTGAATGCAATAAAAAATTATTTTCTTCGATTATTGTGAAGGGACCAAACGGTACTCACTTGAAGATCTACTGGAAGCAATTGATATTGAAAATTCAAAGTACGTATTTAATCCAGTTTCCGTCGTTACGAAAAGACTATGTAGGAATCTTCACTTCCGCCAAAACGCGCCGTTTATTTTGTTAACCTTTCACCGATTTACGCCCATAATCTCATTTTTCCATGCTTACTTTACTTCCCACACGATGTATCTAATTTAAGAGCCATTAATAATCTTAGCTTTTCACTTCGAATACCCATACGTATCTTTATAAGGCAATGACGATCTTCTTTAATAAATTTATCGATGCGCGCGTCATGCCCTCACAAACTTGGATTTATTTCGATTAGGAATTTAGCCGTGAAACTAGTTTTCAAAATCCGATCCCTGTATGTACAAATCCGTAAAGAATTCCAAACCCATATGTAATCGGACAAGTTTCCTTTTGATGCGCTTCTAAAGATTTATTTCAGTTCCTGACGTTCGTTCCTCAAAATGATAAATTATAATTCGTAAACATTGTTTAACTGAACAAGGGAGTTTGCCAATCATTTGGTCTGTGAGAAATTTATTCTTTAAAATAAGAGACGTCGATCGTAAATATACAAATAACTCGTTTTCTCCCTAGAACGGTGTCGGTCCTAGCGAGACTAGAACCACCCCCCTACTGTGCGTAGACTGAGCTGGCTCAGACTGTCACTTTTATTGCCTTTGAAAAAGTAAAATTAATTGTCGGAGCCACCCAATCGGGCCGCCATTTGAGAAGTAAACAACCCCTTTAAAAGTATTCGCCAAATATTTTATTGGCAATCGGTTGTAGGGCAATAAACCAAAATCGTAAAGTTTACCTACAACATGAAATTAGCAAAGGATTGCCCGTTGACGTACTTTATTGGTATCATAATTTCATAAATTGTGAAGAGTTTTAAACGGACACGAATTTGCACACTTGGCGTGGGTTAGGTTTATGGACGCCATAAAGTAAAATTTTGCAAATTAAGGGTTAAATACGGTCTGGCAATTTACAGTTATTCTCGGTAGGATTGTAATCCGCAAATGACAATTTTGCTTGGAAATTTCTGTCCCTTTAATGAATAGTTTTGAGGATTTTGGAAACTCAATTTGCCGAAAGGTAAAATGCCGAATATAAATGTACCTTAAATCTCTATTCTAATTGTATTTAGACGTTTTCATTGTGTAACGAAGTGAGGGTGGAAAATATTTAATTTCTAAGTAAATATTTGAGAGGCGAAATTGCCAACCTGTTTCAGGGGTATTAAGAACGGCAGACTTTATTTGAGTAAATATTAACTGTATTTGTGTTTCGATTGTTCTGTCTCAATTTAATTATTTTTAATGAGGATGTATCTCGTCGGGGTGATGAATTCGATACGGATCTATGAAAAACGAACCCTTAACTAATCGAAAACAATGATCACCCAACTGTATAATTAAATAAATGCATTTTCTATTTTCCGTCGCAGTAAGCCTGAGTTATTGTCTAGATTCATCTAGGGAACGAAATTTAATCTCTGAAAATCCGACGTGCATCTTTTATTGCGTGCAGTCATGACAAACGCATGTGTCAATAGCACAAATGAAGTCTAGAATGAATATCAAGTCCCCAGTATTATCGTATTCTAAGTTAGGCAGGATAATTTATTACCAGGATATCCCATATCCTCGCGTGCCTAGCGCCTGTGCCACAGCTTACTCACACAAACTGCAGTCGCACAACATGCTATTGTGGATGTCTTCCTTGAGGGAAACGTGAAAAACTGATACAGTTTAGCTTTCTATTTATGAGGACGAGTACACCCCTAACCGAGGGGCTAATATCTAATATCAGAAAGTACTTAGATTGGAGGCAATCTGGTGCCACTTCGGCACTTCTTTTATCAAGTTGATACCCGCCGCCTTAACGACGTATCTCATCCCTTTGTGACGGACTACAAATGATATTAAAAGCTTTTCGTCTATTCTGGAACGTTTTATTTAACTCAAAAATAGCATTTTTAATTACGACATCTGTTAACGATCGACTAAAAAAAGCACGATTACCGCCGACTCGAGAACAGATTTATAATAAATATTTTTGTACGAATTTCGAAATTTTTTTCTCACTAATTACGTCGCGTTTGTAGAAAAGCTTTTTGTAAAATTTTATTTCTTGTCGTCGAGGTGTTGATTCGAATCAAGAACGTGAGGGTGTGGCTACAGGGATAGCGAGGCGCGTTCCAATTTACGTTGTTTAACTAGGGATTATATTTTAAGAAATTTTCACGTTAATTAGGATGTATTTTGCGAAAGGAGGTAATTAGGCTTCAACTGATGACAGGAACTGCCGCAATAACTGGTAATAAACATCTTGTCTTCGTTTGTTTAGAATTATGACTTGACAAACCCCGCTTCGTTGAATCCCCCGAGATACGTGGAGACGCTTCTGATGTGTTTGCTGCTGCCTATATATGCAAGATTGGACAAAGGATCTTTTCTATAGGTTGTTATTTATGAGGGATTTGTAAAACGCGAATAAAGTATACAATATTTTATCGTTTAATTTTCTATTGGATTTACCGAATTTTACTTTACTTATACGGTTATTATAATGACTTTGGTTCACTTCAAATGACTTTTGTTATCGAAAGTGCTTTGTTCGATATTAATGTGCACTTAGCCGACGATGTTTGGTGTCAGTAAGTTCGGTGTTGCGTGTTTTTTTTTCGTTCTGGTACGTGAAAGGCATGCAATTGATGCAATGCCATGAATAATAATGACTTTATTTCCATAAGGGAGAATGCAGAGAAATGGAGGAATTTTTAAGACATTGAAAGAGGGAAAAATATATAACCCTAAACAGGCTTGCGAATTGGTATTGTAGGGAGGCTTGGTTAAATGCTCTCACCGAATTTCTCTGTGAGGGGGGTCTTTGGAATCATCTTGATTTATTTGTCGTTTTAGGAGGACGCCACCTTGCGTTCTTCGCTCTTTAATCAATGTTTTTCTGCAACGAAACACAAACATTCATCAGAGCTGGCAAGCATAATATGCAAAATAGGTTCCTAGTTCTATGTATATAGATTAGAAGGCAGATACGTGAAAATATTTCATGAATTTAAAATTGGAAAATATCGGTTTCAACCTCGAAAGTCAGCTAAAATTCTAACTTTAATCCTGCGGGTAATTTTAGATCATCATCAGATCGAAGTCTCGAGATTATGCGCATTAATATCTGCGGCACACGATTTCTAAGCGATTTATTCAAGAGGAAAAGACCGCATGTCTGCTGTTCCCCATAAAAAAAATGTTTGCGTTTTAAGGCGAGTAACTAGCGAATTTTCCATCCAACATCCCGAAAGGTCATCTAAGGACATCAATGTGTAAAAAGGATAATAAGTTAAGGCATAAGAAACTTGCCATTGCGCAGTCTGCGCATGCGCACACCTTATTTTCGCAACGAGCGATATGCTTGTCTTTACTCGAAGCACCTGCGAGTAAAATTTCAAAAAAATATTTTCATAAATAAGAAAGTTGACATTTCGCAGTCTTAGTCAAGTTGTTTCTTGGTTCAGGAGGAACCAAGTGCCAGAGATATAAGTTTCGGAATGCTAAAAGAAAGAACACGCAACATTAGAAGTCGTTAAGGGCTCGGACGGACGGAGAAAGTGGCAATAATAGCGCCTTTAAACATGAGTTGGAAAATGTGCTAAAAAGTGGGATAATTATGTATTATTTCCATTCTATGTTCCATAGTTCATTAGTGAGCCTTTTGGCATTACTTAAACTCTGTACCTTATCGTATTTTTTACCGCATTTTTCAAAAATGAAAATGTGTTTTTACGTTTTACCAATATTTTTAGGGAAATGGTAAACCGCATTGCCTTTAGGAATTTTGATCGATGGTGTTTTTTCGACCTAAACGACATTTCCTTGATAAAGATTTAACACGACATTCAAGATTCATTAAAACATTTTTTCAATGAAAGCGATTGCTGCCAAAAATTGCCCATTTTTCAGATTTTGGGTCATTTGTAACAAGAGAGTAATGATACAAATACGGTTGATGCATGAATCCGATGTAGTTCTTCCAAATGCAGATCAAATGCGATGGAGGTCTTCAGTCACACCACAAATATTTTTCAATGGTGTTTCTCAAGCTACTCCTACCTACAATAAGGAACTGACTGGACACGATCAAGATGACTATATTTCAAAATAAACACAGGAACCATTAATGTCTAGCAATTCCTAGTAAGAGTTTGAGATCTTATAAACGCTACAGTCAATAGGATACGTGCAGAGAATCAACGAGTGGTCCGAAATGTGATGCATAGGAACAGTTCCACTGTCAGCGACGTTCGTTTGAGCAGAAACAATGATAATTAATTATTTAGACCGACCTCATACAACATACTGGTGAATTTAATGCAACGCGAGTTATGATAATTTAAGAGATCTAAATTGAGATCTCCCACGCAAACAATGTTATCGGAAGCGGTTAGGATACGTGCAAGACAATTCTTAAATGCATCAATAAATTTCGTACATGCATGTTCCGCTTTTCGGTAAATTTTTCCGACGGCTAAGGATGAATTATTGACATGGATGAGGACCCAAATTTGTTCAAACGCCTCATCGCAAGCTAAATTAGCTACTAAAGTGTAGCGGAGATTATCTTTGATATAAATAATAATTAAACCACCACCCCAGGTGTTTGTTATCCTATCTTTACGTACAATCGTGTATCCAGGAATACTCGCAACGGTACCTTCAGTTTTTGGTTTTTAACCACGTTTCTGCTATTCTAACGATGTCATACTTACTACTTAGTCGTCAATATATTATGTTGCTACAACTCTCGAAAATTACTTTAATATTAAGCTGATATTTCACAACGATATCTCTAAACTTTGTATGGCGGATAAAAGATTTACTAAACATAATCGTTACAGCGTTTACAATGGTGGTATGAATTTGTATGAAATAATGCAAGATGAATGTATAAATAAAGAAAATTCTGATTGATATTCGGTAGTCGCGAGTAATTAAATGTA